AAAATATTATATTGAAGCCAAATGTTAATAATAATCAAATCCACGCAGCCTACTTATGTATTTTTACTCATACATTAATATATTTCATCTAAATAAATTTTCTAAATAAAAAAACAAACTCTCGCGAAGAAGTTTAGTTCAGAAAGCTGCCAAATCGTGCAGTATTGATGCAAAAAATGTTAATTTTTAATGATAATAAAAAAGTAAAAAGTCAACTGATATGTTTTAATACTGTATAACTAACTGAAAATACCTCAAGTCTTAATGTGTATTCGGGCTCTAAGTCAACATATTCAAAAGCAATCCGAATCACTGAACCACTATATGACGCTTCATTTAATTGTTTTTTTAGTCGTTTTGTTTCCAAGTCATCCAGAATCACAACTGGAATGCGTCCTCGTTGTGTCTAAAATACTACTACAATTACATAAAAAGTATTCTAAATGCTTACTTTACAAAAGTTTTAATCTAAAAAATAATAATATTAAATTTATTTTACAATTGGTAGTTTGAACTAAAAATTGAAGATATACTTCAACTTTACTAACACATATAATCTATCCATAAACATAACATGACTGAAGAACAATTTTTATTAAAATGAAAAAATACAGCTTAATTTGAATAGCCAAACTATATCAATAACCTTATCAATCTGAGCCACTACTCGACTTTCCGGTCCGACTACTAAACCGACTGCACCTGACTTCTCGGCAAATCGTACCTAAATATATCTCTTTACAGTGTTTGTTCTAATTAAATATGTTACCAATTTATCTAAAGATTAGAAAAGTGAATGAATTGTACAGTAATATATCAGAAATTTCTGCAAATTGTAATAGACATTGCACGAAAGATTTTAGTGTCAAAGATTGAATTTTTAAAAAATTATCAAAGTTTTACAAAAAATATTGTCATTATGGTCACACAACCAAATTAACTTCCTGAAACAATTTCAAAATCAGCAAAAACCTCATTGATTACTAGAATAAACAGATTGCTGTAAAAATTTCAAACAAAACAAATAATTATTTTATTACTTTTACACAAAATTAAGCGTACCTTTGCCAAAGTTACTAAAAAGTTACTTAATTGCTTGCAATCAAAATGTATAAGTGCGAATACTATTTGTTCGATTCATTTCATTTCTCACTTAAATAATAGTTAAAGATGGATATAACAATTTCATTATATATTATTCAAATCATACATAGTTGGTAATCTTAATCTTCCCCTTTATTCAGTTTTTGTGATAGAAATTTTAAATTGTAATATTCATCTCAACCACTATAATCACTTGAAAAAGACAGATGGCAAGCAATTCGGGAAATGATGGTGGAAATATTAAGAAAACCATAAATTTTAAGCCAATGAAATGTGCTCCTTGCTGAGTTTTAATGGGATTTTCCGTCACATTATACCAACAACAACGATTACAATGATTATAATCGTGATATCAATCTCATAATTACGATGCTGTTTAACAATGATACTAGTATAAAATCAAAAAAAAATAATGATGATAATGATAGAGCATTCCATGAGAAACCATACTGATAACATTTAGAGTACGTATTTATTTGTGATAAAAAGTTAATCAGACAAAAATTCGAACCTAAAGACTCAAATAATGTAATTTATTCTGTAATTAATCTTGCAATACGAACTTAATTGAACAATATTATATCGACATTTTGAATATGGTATTATTGACAAAATTAAAATATAAAACTGACTTGGTTATCCAATGAAACACATCCAGCAATAAACGGTTCCAAATCATCGAAAAATACGATAGCAATGTGATCGATTAATGTTCGATCATAACCTTTCCTTCTACTATCACATGCTCTGTATGGAAATACCTGGAAAAGTACAGTAAAAATTAATCAAATGATATGAATTAGTTATTATTGATTTCTAATAACTGATTGATATTAATCGAATATATATATATATATGAATTGCAAAGATCAAAATTTATAATTTATATGAAAGTTAATTGCAAATAATAACAGTTAAGTATTTCCGTGTCCTTTCAGAGCTTACAAAGTATAATTTTTAATCTATTTATTTAAAAAAAAGCATTTTATATTTATGCGAAATTATTTATATATCTGTAAAAATCACAAAAATTTGTAACACATTACATTTAATGTGTTACAAAGACTTGTCCGGACAAATTTAAATATTTTTGTTAACATTACAGTTTCAATATACTGTACAATAATTAGTACAACTAATATTTACAAATCTTATTCAAAGCTTGCCTGCTTATCATTACGCACTGTTTGAGACATTTTTATGAATTATTTTTTAGCAATAAGCTGATTTTGGCACTAAATTTTAGACTTCTCAAGCCTGCAGTTAGTTTTAACATCGCACTTCGATTTTTAAAAAAATAAAAAAATATTTTTAACTCAAAAATTATACACTAATTATTACTGTAAATTTGAAAAACTTTCTACTGTTTTCATTCATTCCATTCATTCCCTCATTCATTCAGTCATTCAATCATTCATTCAGAGTTATTCATTTCAATCTTTACTGCAATCAAAGTATTCCTATACATAGATAATTTATAGAATAAAAAAATCTAACTGAAGCATTGAAATAAATGTATGAGAGATAAATATTCGAGCAAATTTTTTATGCAAATTTTGTTGAAATGTGAGAAAGAAAAAGAAAGAATAGGAATAAATTGGAAAGAAATCGGAAAGAATAAAGCAAAAGCAGCGGTTGAATGTTTGAAGTTTGCAAGAAAAAATATAAATAAATAAATAAATAAATAAAGTAAAGCTATTTGTGAGATTGAACGGCTTAGAAGACAGTAAGCGAAGTAATAAACACAGAGAAAAAGCCTATTTTATTAGTTTACTTTGGCAAACTTCACCATGCCAACTGATTGATAACGAAAATAAATAAATACTCTGACGGCGTCTTTAATGCTTTATTATATCAGTTCAGTTATCATTTTTATCACTCGCAAAACTTTTCTTAAACTCAATTTCAACCCTTTTAGATGGAATTATTAATTAATATCAATCTGAAATTGCTTACTAAAATGGAATATAAATTTAAAAAGGTTTTAAAGTGACTATGTTCTTATACAAACAAATTTTTGCTTATTATTTCAATATATCAAAGTATATCTGTCGTTTTCCCACAATATTATCTGATAAAATTCAAATTTTTTTGAAATTTAAGTTAAGATAACAAAAATTAATGAATGAATAAACACTGAAATAAACTATTTAAGTAATCACTTAATGCAGAAGTGACAAGAATGGAATTAGAATGCTAATTATCTTTAACAAATTGCTTACTTTTGCTTTTGCAAATGTCATTTCTTCTACTCATCTAATAATGTTTGTAATAATATTTATGATAATCTTTTTGCCTGACAACAATTTGTGCATAATCATTTTGCTTCAAATTCATTTCCTATCTTACACAATTTACAACTTTGAGGACAATTTTTAAAATTAAGAAAATTTTCAGATTATCACTTCTTGAAATTTATGTTAATCCACGTGTACAATGAATAATTTTATCATCAAATTTGCATACTTTATTTGAAATGTAAGTAAAACGAAAACAACGATAAATAAATGGATGGATGGATAGATAGATAAATAGATAGATGGATAGTTAGATAGACAGATAGTTGCTAGTAAGTTAGTTAGTTAAATAGACAAATATTAGCTAAGAAGTTGTTCTTTGAACAGACAAATGTGGACAGACAAATGGTCAAGTGTTTGATCTTTCGTCGAAATTCTTTTCCTCTTCATTTCGATTTCTTATTTCCATGTAAGTATATGTGTGTGTGTGTTATTTGTGCAACTAACGTTCCGAAAGGATAAAAGATTAATATAAACTTGTTAGCATAAAATAACCAAGACTTAGCTAGTTTATAGCAAGCACTAGCTAGATTTGTTGCTAACGAGACTGAGCTAATTGTTTTTGCATTGTTTGTGCGCAACAAAAATTCTTGTCTTCCTTAGCTTGTCATTCATCTTAATTGACATATATTTGGTGCTAAAGTCGACATTTTACTTGTTAGCAACAGCAAAAGAAGCTGCAATTTATTATTAAAGTGTAAATTACACAATACTTAAAAAATATTTGATAAAAAAAGTTAATTAGCAATTAAATCTAAAAACTGACAATTTATAATTAAGTTTAAAATTCATTTATTTTTAATGAAGCATTCTTGTAATTAATAGACAAAAACTGCCGCTAATTACCTAAAATTATCAAAATGTATAGCATTGTGAAGCCAAGATCGCAGTCGTTTTCAATTTCAGATTAACATTACTTAAAAATGCAATATTTGCTAGGTATTTTTTAAATTTAAATTTAAAATTTCAGCAAAAATTTTTCTGTCAGTGAATATTAATTAATTCGTCAAATAAAAGGAATAAAAATTAAAAATGTACTAGAAAAAAACTGAACTTGAATAGAATTAATTTTTGTGTACGCATTTATGTTCAAGATTTTATTTCATTTCGAAGGAAATCGATCAGTTCAGTTAATTATTTTCGAATGTGATGTAAATTTGAATTGCAAATTTTCAAGTTGTAATTAATTATATCAAAATGCCTTTCATGTTGTCTATACCATTTTTTTTCCAAAATTTCTAGTTTTGGAATGTGCGAAATGAAAAAATGAATTGCTTACTGTTGAAAGAGCAATAAAATATGTTCGATTCTTTCTTCTAAATCTTTCATATTTGAGAGAAACTGATGGATGAAAATAATTGTGATTGCTTTTAATAGCGTAGTTGTTAAGCACATTTAGTATAAGTATTTTATTAACACGTTAATCATTCTATTACTTTCATTTTAAGTACCGAATGCCTGCCCAACCCAGAGCATCTCAAATATTTTACAGAGCAAGCTTGAAGATGTAATTTCTAATTCAATATTCCAAGCATATCCTGAAGGAACTGGCTAGAAACTATTTAATCCACACTACTCCCTCACACCAACACATGCTGATTAGAGCTAATGATTTTGTGCATTGAGAAAAGTAATAAGATAAATAGCTTAGATGATGAAAATAGCAACGGAAATTAAAATATTTCCTTAAGAATACATCAGTACTTATTTATTTCCAAGCAATCTCTTTATTCAATTTAAAATTAGATAATTAATAAATTACTTCAATTTACTTTCTACAAAATTCAGTGCGATTGTAAATGAAATGATGGTTTCCTTCTGTACACACTGCTTGCATGATTAAAATGAAATACTAAAATTTTATTGAAATTGAAATTAATTTTGGATTTGATGACGCATAAGAATAAAGAGATGACTTATACACAGCACATAACGAAAGTGTCAGCAAACTTACGCAGTTCCCACGCATCAATCAGACGGAATTTAATCAATCTCTGAAATATTTCGGCAGCAAATATTTATGTAACGCAAACAAAATCATATAATATCTCTTTTTCAAAATAATTTTACCATATCATTCCAACGAAAGCCAACTTTAATACTTATATCATGCACATAATGCATGATATAATAAATTATTTTGTATTGGAAATATTTTATTGAAAGCTGCGCAAAGCTATCAAAATTCTTTACGCAAAAGCAAAAATTACGTCTTTTACTCATATTTGAAATAAGCAAAAATAAAACTTAAAATAAGCATGATATTAGGATTTAAAAATTCCAAGTTATTGTATGACTAAACAATTCTTATCATATAGTGTAAGTGAAGTGAATTAGACTTAAAATTGTTGAGCAATACATAAAGACAAGAAATGGAATACATATACCTAATGCTTTCTAAAAAGTTTAAAGATTTTAAATATCACAAATGAAGCAATGATTTTTTGAACAAAAAAACTGCAATTTTTGTTAGATTTAAATTTGGCTTATTACTTTACTTTGCTATTGTGAATTCGCATGCATTAAAAAAAAATATTTATCAATTTTTTTTTCACAAAATAAATTAGACATAAACTAAAAATTAAAAAATAATAATTTGTAGAATATTAAAAAATTGCGAACGAAATTCATAATAAAATTAATGCATTTGAAATCACAATTTTTTTCATCTTTTTTAGAACATTTATTGAAATTTGCAAGTAATGACTGCTTTTTAGCAATTTACTAAGAAGAAATTAAAACGTTCCTTAATGACAATATATCGTTAAAACTGTGCCCAATGTCTTTAGCTAACTTGGTAGTTAACTTTTGATAGTTTTATTATGGCGACATAAAACCCATTTTTAACGATGCATCGTTAAACATCGCATCTTACTTCTCTCATATAATTTGTATAGTTTTAATGAGAATTGTTGAAACTTTTTCTCATCGCAAATTATACACTTTACTTGGAGCGACTTTAATTTACTGCAAAAATCCGATAAATTTATTCATTTTCAGAATAAAAATTACAATCAACCTTGTAGTAATCTGTTATCATTTTAACAAATCTATTCAAAAATTCTTGAAAAAAGTTAAAAATTTGAAAAAAATTAAGAATAAAAATTTATTTATTTATTTTTTTGACAACTTTACATTATGTAAATAATTTATAAAAATGTATGTGTCGCAGTTTTACTTAATTATACTAATAAAATTCTTTTCAGATGAGTAACACGCAAAGTTGAAAAAATAATTTCAACTCAAAAAATAATTTAGAAAAGTGACAGTAATTTTGTGTTATTAAATTTAGAACAGTGCAAACTTTAAAAACAAACAAACTTAAAAAAATAAAAGTTTAAGACATTTGTAAAGTTTTGGTCTGTTTAATGCCATATATATAAATGAAATACAATAAAGAGTTGCACAAAAATTCTGAGGAATCAAAATATATTCGAATAGAAACAATCGTAAAAAAAATAAACGTTGAAAAGTTTTGGAAAATGACATTTAACCCTTGCAATTTTTGTAGTTTTTTCAGTTTGCATTATTAATTTTAGTAAATATTAATCTAACAAGTCACACATCACAACTTTGAATCCTTTAATATATTCTAAAATCAAAATTCACTTTTATCATTAATTTTCTTTCCATAAATATTATCGATAAATTTAATACTTTTTTTCATTTCACTGATGCAAGAAAAAGTCTTCATACGTATCTTTCAACCATTTTCTGATATTTTCCGAGCAAAACAAAAATGAATAAAATAACTATCTTACACAGAAATAATAATAAATCAACGATTTTCTTTTCTATTTTCTGGTAAACGAATAGGAAAAAAAATTTATTGCAATTTTATGCAATCAATTTTTTATATGTAATTTCTTAACATCTAAGCAATATTTATAATTCCATCAGTGGATAAATTTATTCTAAAGTATTAGAGTTTCACTGAAAACTTCTCGATAACTGTTTCAAACTCAGTCAAATTTCTTACTCAGAATTTTCTTATGCATTTTAATGGCGACATGTCTCGGCTATTTTTTGTGATATAAAAACAGTAGCGAAGTGATAAGAAAACAGATAAGAGATGAGAATAATCAGTAATTTTTCACTGTAAGTAGCAACCATTCATTCTTTTCATGTAATTTAATACCTTAATAAATAAATAAATAAGTAAACATATATATGTATGTTCATAAGGTGTAATTTTAGAAATGTCTGCAAATTTTGCGCAGAAATGAGACAACGCAAATCATAAATCTTCAGTCATTTCCATGTTTTTATACTCCAAGAATTTACAGCAGATTTATGTTATCATTCGTTTCTTTAGTAAACTTTAACTTTCCTCTAAATGTAATACTCAGCAGTTACACACATGTAAAAATCGGTAATTAAACACAGAATTAGAAATTTTATTACTCATATGAGTTTCTCACTTAGATTTAAAAACGAAATAAAACTGCACACTGTTAGGGCAAAATCATGAACTGATATATATTTCAATTTTCTTTACCATTTATTACTTATATTAGAAAATAATAATAATAATAATAATAATAATAATAATACAAACCATGCAGATCTCATAATAGTAAAACAGATGATAATAGATAATAGTTTTTACCGCGCTAATTAACTTTTAAATCTCAGAGAGAGATGAAACGTATTAATAAGAAAAAATAGTTATACTTTTGGAATAAAAACAATGAAAATTTTAATCCAAAAATTTATCAGCCCAAAAAATTACTGTTAGTTGATTAGCGAGATAATAAAAATTATTACAGAATAAATAAAGATGATAAATTTGCTTAATTTGATGACTACGCTGAAAATAATTGCTGAAAAAAGATAAAAAAGTATAATAACTGTAACCATTAACTGATGATTGAAAGTGATTAGTTGGAATAAGTAATAATAATATTAATATGGTTGCAAGAAATTTAAGGACACAAACTTGCACAATATCTCCAGAAGTCTCGTAATTTCTTCCCGCGGCCGAAAACGTCCCAAACAACCGTTGGTCATTTTGTTTTTTACCTGCACGCGATGAAACTAGCAGATCGATTGGTTCACCGTCTGCTCCGGTAATTTTCTCAGAATCACCAAGAATTTGGAACTCTCGACCAGGTGCAGCAATCACCCAATTCCCATTAAATACCACTACAAAGGGAAGAAAAAGGAGACATTGTGCTTGCTGCCATACGTGAACCATCAGGAAATATATGAAATTAAAGTAATAAAGAATCTTATCAACTTCACGAAATTCTTCACTTTCTACAATGCTTCTTGATGAATCGTTTGGATAGTAGCGAAGAAATCAGAAGGAATTTAGCTTTTTGTAGAAGAAAAAATGTATAATCGAAAATTATTAGATCCGTCGGTTTTCTTCAAAAATTTGTCATTCTGTAATATTCAAATTTTTCTTGATTAATGGCAAATTCTTTGAGAATTGTAAATCTATCGATGATAATGATGAAGATAATAATCGCAAATACAGTAATGATTAATGACAATATTATTAATTAACTGCAATAATGATAAAATAATGAAATGAATGGGTAAGACGTTTATTCGGAATAGAAATAAAAGTTTAAAAAATTCCATTGTTAATAAAGTATAATATTTCTAGTAAGGTGTGGCAATGAAGCCTTCAGAAGCAAGCCGGTGCCTTCTGAAGAACACCGCCGTCGCCACTGCCACTATTGCTGGTCGTTGCTATCACCGAACCCAGTGATGCAATAAATTTTATGGTAAACTGAAACAGATGGACACATACATATACGCACACACACATACACACAGACACACACACGTAGACACAAACACAATGGGGGTGGAGCGATTTTAATTTCGAATTTTCAATACGATAAATTAACTCAAATTGGTCTTTCTTATTTCCTATACGATATTTAATGGGCCGTACTGGGATGGATTAATCAACTAAGACCATTTTTCAAATGCATTCACTATAACATGTTTGAAGAAGTTGAAGTGAAATGAAATTTAGAAAATTTACTTACAAATCATTCATTCAAAGTTATTAGCTTAAGTGATAATATGAAACTTCGCATACACTCTAGCCTTCTGTATCCCAGTAATTAATAATAATAATAACAATGACAAAAGTAACACGACAATACCAAAAATGTCAATTATAAATCAAATATGAGCAATTATGATAAGCAGAATGTCACTACATTATCATATGGATGCAAATTCATTCAGTAGGAAGGGAATTCGGAATGGAATATTTTTCATTGCATCGTTCTTGTCTCAAATGAATTTATTTATAAACAAATTTGCGATTATTCCAAATTAGTCATTTAAATGAATAATAATTTATCCATAATTTAGGCTAATTTGTTCATTTTTCTATTCAAAGCAGTGAATTAATTTTTCTTCCTAAACTTCAAAACTCACTATCATTATCAGTGTTAGTTCATAAATTTTCTATCAGTTAGTTATTTGTATCAATGAAAAGATTTGAACTTTTATTTCGCATAGTTAATAAATTAAAGGCAAAATTTGAAAACTTTCGAGGAATCGAAATTTTAAAATGTTTGAAAACTTCAACTTTTTTTGAATTTATTGCATTGAGTGATTGACAGCAAAGTACAACTGAGTTATTAATTTATTTTTTCAAATATTAACTTTTAAAAACGAATTATTGACCATAAAGTGTTGAAGAATTCGTTTTACTTTTTCGCTCTCACTTACTGCTAATAACATTTGCATTGTTTAATTTCAGCAAACTTTGCTCTCTTATCTAATATCGTCCATATTGTGAATAACTTTTATTTGCTCAATGTTTAATAATAATTGACATATTTATGCAAAAATATTCGCCTTTTATAATTTTCTTTTTCTCTAAAAACGACTTTCGTTACATTTTTATCAATGCAAACTTGAGCTAACTGACAAATTCATTACTTAACAATACTAATGAAATAAAAAGAAGCAGCAAATTAAGTAGCAAATTTTATTAACGTCGGCAAATACTAAATCAAAAAATAATTCTTATCAGTGATTAATCATTAGTAATCTCATTGGCTTATCATTACTGCCTTATCAAATTATCAGTAGCATAGGTATTATTGTTTGCTCCACCTTAATATTCTCTCAATTTTAATAAATCAATAATTTTGATCAAACTGATAAAAGCATTAAAATAATAATTAGTATTGCAAACTTTAGTTTTATAATTCAAATAAGTGTGCAAATTTTTATTTACAAATTATTTAAATCAATTGAATTTTAATTTTTTACGCCAATTTGATAATTCTTCCTTCATTTCCTACTTGTTTCTGCAATGTATAAATTTTTTTAATAAACTTTACATGCTTGAAAAAAATTAAAATCAAAAAACGTTAAATTTTCTTTTGCGCGTAAAATTATTCATCATTTGTTAGATAAATATAATAACTGAATCAGTACTCGGTAGAATTTAAAGGGTTTTTTTTTGCTTTCAAAATTCTCCATTTCACTTCACTAAATCGTAAAAGCTTTCATAAATTTTACATTCTGAAAGGTTTAAAGTTTTGTGCTATTTTTTTAAACAATTCATGAGAATATTTAAGGTTTATTTTTACGAAAACTTTACCAGATCATCAAAGTTTCAGAATTCAACAGAATGAAGCTTTTTTGACCATTTTGCTAAGAATGTGAACAAGCAGCAGAATCTAAAAAATGAATAAATTACTTGAGTACAGAAACAGCGTTTACTTTCAAAACTTTTTAGTTGATTTAAAAGTGATTACTTAATTCATTCTTGCAATGGCGTTTTTTCCTTCCTTTTGCCATCTTTGTTTTTTTCCATCATTACTTCAAATATATAATTAAGTAAGCTTTCAATCAACACAAACAAAAAATAAAGTAAAAACACTTTATTTTGCATAACTGCAAAATTATATGACAAAAGTGTTCAATTTGACATTTTATACTATAAATTGCAGTAAAATTAGTGCAAAGCAAATGCCAATTGTGGAGCTGACTACATTAATTGTTTTACAAAAAGTTCAAAGGTCAATTATTTGCTTAAATTGTGTCATCTTAATTATACAAAGTTCGAATGTAAGCTGTTCGAAAAAATTTATACACAACGCATGAAATAATAACAAAACTTTATAAATGAATTTATTTCACAAATTGAAATATTTAAACTATTGCGTGTGCAATATCAAAGCTGAAAATTATTAATGCTAAATTTGTAAAAATTATAGAATAAAAGGAGTGCGGGCAAACAGACAACAAATTGAAACCCCAAATGTCTTTTACTAATTAATTTGCCTCGAAAAGCATAGTGGGAAATGCTTGATTACAAGCAGTTCGAAAGTTTAATTAGACGGGAGCAGAACTACTGCATACAGTTTTTTTTTTTAAATATTGGAGGGCAATCGGAATTAAAAATTTCGAAAGTTAATTAATTAATTATAGCAAACTGAAAGCACTGTGAGAGCAGCCAATGCTTGATTAAAAATTGAAAATCAATTTAGTTTAGCTCATCTCAAATAAGATAATTCAAAAAGTCAGAATACATTCTACAACATATTTTATTTTCAAAAAATGAAACTGATAAACTGTTTTTATATTTTTGCAGTGATTGATTGCGATTTTTAAATTCTAAAATAAAATGCTTTGATATCAGTGAAATAAAAATATGGAAGTGTTCAAAGTTCAGCATTCATTCACATAATCGCATTTTTTCATTTGCCACAGAGAACTGAATAATTATTTGAACTGAAATCGTATATTTGTTTGATCAAACACTCAGTGCTAAATAAGCTCAATTAGTAGGCAATTATGTTTCTTCTTCTGACTATTCAAAGTCTGATAATAAAATTGCTTTACAAACAAATGCACTAAATAAAATAACTCTTCCCAAAACTTATATCCATTACAAAAGTAGATCGTACTATTAGTTGTGTGGCAGAAAGAAAAAGTACCGAAAACAAATTATTAAAATAAAATTTTTTTTCTGAAATAAAATAGAATTTGCAATAAAATGCATCAGAAATTGATTTCTTATCAGTGCTAAATATTTTGTTTCAAATTTTTAAAAATCCAATCATAAATTCTGTTTATTACTTTCAAATTCATTTTAAAATTTAAAATTGTTGTTTCAAACAAAAAATATAAATTTTTTTAGAAAGTTATGTCAAATGGAATGGAATGGAATAAATTCAAAAAAGCATGTCATCCGGAATAAATTATTGACGATTAAATATTAAAAATGATTTAAAACCAATCAATAAAAACAGAAAATACTGAATGAAATGAGCAATCAATAATTTTTGAGAGAAATTTAAATGCAATATTTTCGTTCGTTAATTATCGCATAAGTCATAATGTAATGATTAAGCAGCGTCACAATATAGTCTTAATGAAAATATTTTGCTTTTTTAACAAGCAATCTTGACGACAGTAGAATACATATGCTGAAGAAATAGTCAAGATGAATTCTAGACATTTTCGCTCATAATTGCGCTCGACAAGAAATTAATAACATTTTTTTGCCAGAATATATCTTTCGATAATTGATTATTACTTAAATTCTCAAAATTGTTTCAAATAAATATTATACTGACATTGCAAAAAATTGCAGCATTTTTGAGTAAAAAAGAAGAACATTGTTTGAAAAATGATGAACTGCAATGCACTTTCTGAAGTGAAAAATGAATTACTCTTTTGAATATAATTATGGGATATAAGTAGAAAAAGTCAAATATATAATCAATAAAGCACAGATAAAACTGCTCTAGTAATCATTCATCTGAAAACACTGAAATTTTAAGATTAATTAATCAAATGAGTTAAGAATATTTTTTGTGTACTGTATACAATACAAATATTTTAAGCAAAGAAATGTAATTGAAAGAAGAGGCAAAATGTTTTTGAACGCAATAATAGCCAGGATAAAAAAGGAAAAGTGATCAAAATTAATGCAAATAAAAAGTTATATAAAATGTTTAAAAAGGAAAAAATTTTTAAATTTCAAAAAATTTTCGTTTATATTAAGAAAAAAATTTTTATTAATCCAAAATTGCCGACAAAAATGAGTAAAAGTGTTTGAAGATTTTGTAGAAAGAAGAAAAAGTGCTGTGTGAATTATTCGAAAAATCAAAGAAAAAACACTGCGACTATTCAGCATTTTTAATTAAAATGAAGAAAAGCAATTCAAAAATGAAACTAATTGAGTGTTGTAATTGAATTTTG